TTTTTTTTTTTTTTTCTGTGCTCTGGTCATGGCTAAGAGTGGGGTTTTCTCAGTAAGATTCACTGAAATGGTTACATTGGTGAATTAAGCAGGCTTAATGTCTTTGAATATGTACTCGGGCACATGAATGATTGAGTCATGGTGTAGCCATGAGTTTTTCACTGATGGCCACACAATGGATCTTTTCTCACGAACCACTGTGAGCAAAGTAAGGTAAATGAATGAAATTCATGGGCCACTCAAACACATTCACAGTTCATAATTTCCTCAAGCTACAGATTAATTTAGAATTTGATAGATATTAGACTTGCCTACAACTCTGAAAACGCATGAACTAATTACTCATACATTTATAACATGAACACATGATGCTAATCCGGAATCACAAACATTTTGCAGCTTTAGGAATATGCCTTGAGTAGTGGAAAATTCAAGTTGAACACAAAAGGCTCTGGACAAAATTCTAGGTAGCTAATACTTATCTTTAATGACCTTCTAATGTGTTCTTTCAATATTCTTTTACCTAATTCTTCCCTGAAGTTGCAGGGCTTACATAGGTTCTTTACTAAAATACCCTACTTTGGGCAAACCCTTCTCAATTATTGTTCCATATTCCAGACTTCTCCATAGAAGAAAGTGATGGAGAGGGTAGGCTCATATTCTCTGCCCTTTACTTGCTGTGTGACCTTGGGCAAGTCTACGTAAACTTCCAGGCCTCTGTTTGTTTCCTGTCTATAACAGGGCCCTGGTTGAGACCAGATTGTTTTGAGGATTAAGGAAGATATTGTATGTAAAATCCTTGGCACAGTGCCTGACACATAGTAAGAGCTCATTAAATGTTAGCTTACACTCAAAATGCACCTACCCAATGTCCCCTCCTAAAGAGCTCTGTCCTCTCATAGGAAATAATTAAGACTTGGTGGGTGACTATTAAGCAAATCCATGCTGAGCTGAAGAGAGGTAATCATGTGTTCTACTCTTACAAGTATCATGTGTCCATGTGCTAGTTCTTTCCCAAGGTCACAGCTAATTTAAATGTATAATGCCCTGGGGGGATTTTAGACACTGTAGTGGGCATCTGCTGGGGGTCTGGGTAGTGGGGCAAGTTATTTTGGAATCACACTCTCTAAAATGGTTCTCCACACCTGCAGGTCTAAGTGTGTTCCATGGACCAGTCACATCAACATCACAATGAGTCTGTTAGAACTGTAGAAACAGAGTAGTCCTCACCCTGGCACTACTGAATACTGAATTAGGATTTGAAAAGAGGTCCAGGTGATCTATACACATTTAAGTTTTAGAGGTCCTGCTGGAGATCACATAGCAAATAGATGATTGGGCCTTCTTCCTAAGAACAGAAATTTACAAAGATCAACTTTTAAGCATGAAACTTAGCTATGAAAATGCCTGTATTACTCTCTTAAGTTATCTCAGACCTAAATAGTCTTTTAATCCCTTGCCTCGGGCAAACAAAAATTTATAATAATTTTAATTCATTTTATTCCATGCATACTTCCTAAAGGAAAAGTTTGGCCAATAAAATGCTTTTTGTGGAAACTGTTACCTTTCAGTCTCTCTGGGATGGGCAGAAAGAAGATGGCAGAATTTTCTTTCTTTTCTTTTTTTACATGTATTTCTGTAGTGTTTGAGTTTTAATAAGAAGTATAATTGTTTTTATAATTAAATTTCAAAGGTGACCTGGATAATTTGGCATCTTATCTGATTAAGGTTTATATGGCCAATAGTGGAAACTTTTCAATAAAAGTATTTGGGAAATTTTCTCTACGATAGGGAATTATCTTTTGTTTCCCTTATAATATGGAGCAACAATAAACACTATTCCATAAGTATAATCAGACTTGAGGGCATGTAACAAAACATCCCGGCGGGTTATGATTTTGAAGTAATGTTATTCTTATAGAATGCCATCAGATTATTCATATGTGGCTATTTATCACTGACTATAAAAGTGATTCTTCAAAGCCACTTGAAAGCAAGGGAGGAGAAAACACGCACACTTCCTTAGCTATTCATATCAAGGATCTATCCTCTTAAAGATAAAATACTAAGTCAATAGATATAAGTTGTAATATATTACCTCATCCTGTACATGATTAATGGCAGATGGAAATCAACTAGAAACTGAATTACTTTGGAAATTTTACTACTGACATTAAAATTCCAGATCTGTATGGCGACACACCTTATGGGGCTTCTGAAAACAACTCTTTTGCAGACACAGAACATCTATAACTTTGCTCAACTCTATCAGCATAGAAAGCAGAAGTCATCATTTTCACATTACCAATTACCCAGTACCTGTTCATCTACCTAAACACTACAGCCCGACTGAGCTTTGAAAAGTCAACCAGTCACTTGATATCAGTTACACACATTTAAGCCAATTCTCATTATGTTCCTAGCCATTTACTAATTCACTCTAAGAGGAGAAGATCCCAACAAATCTAGTATCTTTTTAGCTTTCATGATCACCTTTGATTGAAGTATTAATTCTTTATCCTACTTCTCAGTGGAAACTACCTAAGCATTAACTTGCCAAAAATGCACCAAGCTGTTTAGCAATTATGTATTAGGTATGTTTGAGGAGATCAAGGTGCACTCACATGCCCTCTGCTATGGATATCTCTCTGATTAGCTTGTCATCTGCTCAGAAGAAGATGTAGGCTGATTCTCCCATACAGTCTAGCAGGCCAGCTGTTAGCTGCCTGTCAAGCCCTCAAGTGGACAAGTAGTCCAGGAGCAAAAATGTCACTCCTTTGATCTGGCAAGGAGCAGCTGCTGATTTATAGAGTAGGACTTTGTTCTTCCGTTCTATTTTACTTTCTTTCCTAAGGCAGAACCACAAAATCCAGGAGAAAAAAAAAAGTGCCGTTCCCAGCAACATCAACAAGCTCTGACAAC